TCTATTGCATGATCAAAAACACAGCCCTAAGCTTCCTTGCTTAATTTGGCTGATCTATGGCTTCCCCAAAGAACATCTTCCACTGAACTCAATACTTCCCCTATGTATTTACTTTCATCTTACATGACGCTAACCAGGCTAACATGCCAAGGTATTCAAGTAGAAATTACCATGAATTGAACCCAAGTTTTAGGTCCTAAGCCAGAGGTAGCTCAAGAGAAAACCCTAAACACACTAGTGCTGCACTTCAAATAATTGTGAACAAAAGAAAAGGGTTAGGGAGCAGAGAGAAATTCCATTTGAAAGCCAACTATTCCAAATTTTGGAGAACATTTTAGCTTGTCTTTACAGCAAATTGCTTTTTTGACAGAAAATTCTCTTAATACTTTCCTGATTACTGAAAGCTGAATCCATTTTTGCAGGAAAGGATTTTGCCCACTCGGAGTGTTACTAACAGATTTTAAGTCAACTTCTGTCAAGGCACCTCTTAAAATTGACTTAAATTGGCGGAGAATAAGTTTTATAGCTTATATAATGTTATATGTGAAGTTTCCTCCCCTAATTTGACATTTCCCAAAATAAATACAGGCAGCCAGCATTAAAAATTGGTATCATAACTGCAGAATTATTTGGTTGTTCAGTATCTTTAACTTCTGCTGCTGGTTTTGAATCAGAGATATCTAAACTTCATTTTATGGTTACTTTTAATCAAAAGTCTTATTGAGCTTTTTATATATGGGATTGCCATTTTTATTCACTCCCTTTCACTATGCCTAACTTGCATGTTTCCCCTTGCTAAATATAAAACTTGCATACAAAATGACTTTCAGGGTTCTTTGCTATTCAGAAAACTAAAGGTAATGTTTGACTCATCCAACATTAGTTTTCTAATATCTAAGTGCCCATTAAGGCCTTTGAACCATGTTTGGTATAACCATTTTTAAATACCATATAGACCAGAATATTCTATACTATCTAAGAGAGATTCTTTTTCTCTCTTCCCCAGTTTCGATACATACTATATAGAAGTGAAAAATCCCCCTTGAAAAAAAAATTCTTAAATAAGTTAAAGCATTGGGTTTCTCTCCCAAATCCCATTATGGAGGAGAGGGGGGCAGAGTTTGTGTTCCCATATGTGTTCCCACTCTTCACTTTGGCGATACCTAGGAGTGCTCACAATGTTTTCTATAACAATAACTTCCTGTCAGTAATATGTGCTTCAGTGTTACAGGGCTTTTTAGAATTGCTCTCCAAATGTTTTTACCCTCCTCATCTTTCTTTGCCAAAATTCCAAATAATTGGAATTGAATGTTTTGACTTTCCATTCCAATTCAAAATGAAACCTAATTTTGAAACAAGTTTTCTGTTGGCTCAGTTTCATTCCTCCAATGCAAACATACAGCTTCTCATAGCTAATTGCCACAACCCTGCCCTTGCACAAAACTACCTTCATGAGTAGGAGGTGCAATGCCCTTTCAGTTCCCCACAGAGTACTTACTCCACCAAGGAGGCTTGCATCTCCTTGGGCAGCAAGATGCTCCAAAGTACAGATGTGGAAGTAAACATAGCCCGATACTTCTGCAAGGTATTGGGTTAAGCTCTCAGCAGTCTCAGACAAGTGGGCACCTACACATATGATGGACCTCTGCTCCGATATGTGATAATTAGCACATCAGAGCAGACTCAGTTAATCAAGTCTGTTGCAAGTCTGCTGGAGCATGCTTGACCCCCTGGGCAACAGTGACCACTGCCTGCTAGAATTCACCATTCAGCGTAAGGTAACAAAGGCAAGCAGTCAGGTGGTGGCCCTAGATTTTAGGAGGGCGAACTTCAATGAGCTAAGGAGGATAGTTGGAGAAGCGCGGAAGACTCAGAGGGGAGGGGAGCTGGGTGTCCAAGGGGAGTGGTCGCTCCTTAAGGAGACGATCCTCCAAGCCCAGAGGAAGGTAATCCCCAGGAGGGTCAAAGGGGGCAGGAGA